AAGCAAACCCTGGAAACAAGAAACATGGTTTTATGTAAATATGCGAAGTCCGTAAACTGAGCAGAAATGTTGGAAGATTGGCGAGAGTTGTCCGGAAAATAAATATTGCTTGGATACAACATGAGTGTTTGGTTGGAAACGAGACTGTTTCTGGGTGCAAAGGCTAAACGAATGTGAATGTTTCACGAGTTGGAAGGCTGGTTGAACGTGTGCGTTTTGTCTGATCCGAGTACATGTGCACTTGTGAGAATCGGGTTTTCAGCCTTCCGTAATTTAAGCCTGTAATACTTATGGGGACGTTAGGTCCCCATAACACAGTACTCGACGAGTTGTGCACTAACAATGTGAAAGATACCTTCGAATTTGTGAAACATGTCGAATGGATGAGATAATGGAACAATGGAACAATGGTTTATGACGGGTATAAAAGCAATGCTTGACAGGTCCCGTAGGATGATGAGAATTAACATAGTAAAATTAAAAAATCGTGTCGATAAAAGTACGTGTGAAATGCATGACTCACCAAGGGATTGGAGATGCACATAAACAAGTAATCCAATAGGAATTTTAAGTGGATTCCGTCTACGTTCGTTGTTTACTAATACCATCATCCGATGGTCGCACGTTATATCACATATTGCAATCGTGTCAGAGTTTCGTCAAGGAGTTTTTTGAAAGGGATAGGGTGGGAGCGTTAATTACATGTTCTGGAAGGGCGTTCCAAGGTTGTGACACTCGGAGGGAGAAGAAATTGCGTCGACATTCCAGTCTACTGTACTGTGTGATCAACTTAAACTGATGACCTCTTAGGGATGCGTTTTGACTACGTTTCGAAAGGGAATGACACGTGTGGTTGGGGGTTCTCAGTATCCGGTACACCAATATGAGATCGCCTCTCAAACGACGGTAACGTCCACTGTATAAGTTAAGAGTTTTCAGCCTGAGTGGGTAGGGAAGGCTGGAAAGACCTTTGACGTATTTTGTCGCTCTGCGTTGTGCAGTATCGAGTGCAGTAAGGTGGCACTTCTGCCATGGTTGCCACGCTTGAATAGCATATTCTGTGTGCGGTCTAACAAAAGCACTAAGCATTTTCGGAAAGATTGAGGCGTCAAACTTCCCAAACGCACTACGCAGAAGGCCAAAGTGTTGGTTTGCTCTCTTGGAGGCCTTTTCGGTCTGCATTAAGCACCCAAGATCTTCTTGTACAAGCACGCCAAGATCGCACTCATGAGCGGTCCGCTGTAGAATGTCAGGTCCTAAGCGGTAGTTATACGCACTCTGATGGTGTATGCTCAAGATTTTGCACTTTGTGGTGTTGAACTGTAGCATGTTCTCGTTTGACCACTTGTATGCTTTGTCCAAATCATCCTGCAAGGCTGTGTGATCCTCTCCTGAAGCTATGGCACGCCATATCTTTAGGTCATCTGCAAACAGCAGAAAGTTGGAAGATAGTGCAGCTGCAAGATCATTTATGAAAACAATGAACAAGCGAGGCCCGAGTACCGAGCCCTGAGGTACGCCACACTGAACTTCGATTGGTTCCGACAGGGTATTTCGGACTCTCACAATCAGGTGACGTTGAACGAGAAATTCGCCTATCCATCCTAGAATAGGATTGCCGATACCACAATGCTGCAGCTTGTTCAGTAAAATCCGATGGTCCAGTCGGTCGAATGCCTTAGAGAAGTCCAAGTAGGCTACATCCACTCCGACTTCGGCATCCACAGACTCTGTCCAGTTTGAACGAGCAATCAGCAAATTAGTTGTGCAGGACCTGCCTTGGCGAAATCCGTGCTGCTCCGGAACGAGGATGTTGTTTTTCTCCAGGTACTCCATGAGGGCCTCGGCTACAATGGACTCCATGATCTTGGAGATTACCGGAAGAAGGGTAACCGGACGATAATTAGTTGGATCTGCACGGCTACCATTTTTGTGGATTGGAGTGATGATCCCGTGCTTCCACATCGTTGGGACGTGCATCTCGTTAAGGCATCGCTGAAAGAGTGTCGCCAAAGGTTCAGCTAAGCTCATGGCGGAAACTTTCAGCGCTTTCGGCCGAATGCCGTCCGCACCCGGGGAGCTAAATTCGCGCAACGACATCAACCGCTTCAATACAGCTGCAGTTGTGAAGGAAATGTGGTTAAGGCCTGATGGCGGAATAAGTTGCCTAGATATGGTGCAGGATGTTTGCACACATTGGAAAGTGCGGCCGAAGTGTTGTCCTAGGACGTTCGCCGCATCCTGTGCCGTATGTGCTAATCCGAAAGCTGTGCGCAGAGCCGGAATTCCGCGCTTAACGCGGCGAAGCTTATTTATGTGTCTGTATAGTAGCTTTGGGTTAACGCAGAACTTTGACACAAGATCTTGTTGGCTCTTTACCTTATCCTCCCTAACGAGTGTGACACAGTGGTTTCTTTGTGTAATATAGGTGTTCCAAGTATCCTCGCTCGGAGAGGCTATATGGGCGCGCCATGCCAGATCCAGATAAGCTGATAAATTGATGCTCTCTTTCGATGCTGAATCAGCCTCTACGATAGATCGGCGGATAGAAATGGATGATTTTATTTGTTATTACTTCAACAATGCGAGCCTAGAGGTGGGTATGCCAGTGTGGAAACGGAAGGAATTATCAGTATAATGCATCATCAACAGAGAGTTTTTATTTGATGGAATCTATTACCGACAGTTTGGCAGTCGCGATGGGGTCTCCCTCCTTACCGATTCTTGCTGACCTTTTCCTTGCTATGCTCGTACTTGAACCTACATAAACCATTACCTCTTCATTTGGTTTCTATTGTTCATACACAAATGACATGTTTGTAGTCTGTGATTCAGTTGAGGTGGCTAAACAGTGTACATTGGTCGTCGAAGTTCACCAGTGAAATCGAGTATGATGCTAAACTGACCTTCTTGGACGTTTTACTAAGGGGAAAAGCATGTGTTTCACTAGAAAGAAGTGTGTTTTAGAAAACGAAGTGGGACTGTTAATACACACACACACTCTCAGTTTTGTACACTTGAATTACAAATGGAACCTTGTTCGTTGCTTGTACTTTCGCGTTGCCAACATTTCTAGCCCTGAGACTTTGGAGGCCGAAGAGAATCGTATACTCCAAACGTTGCTACTAATCGGTTACACAACGCCGTTCATCCGAAAGCACGCAGTGATTCATGCTTCTCATGTATTGATTTCAACTGTTCCCAAGCAGAATGTGCTTCTGTCAGTTTCCTTCAAAGGAGATATTGCTTTCGAGTTGCTGAACAAAAGTGTTTCCACTGCAGTAGCTCGGAGGTTTGCAGCCGCCGATTCACACATCATAGCCGAAACCGCGCCGGTTGTTGCCCAAATTCTCAAAGACGAACTCAGGATCCATGCCGAATCTTGCATTCCAAATCAATTTACGTGCACCCGTGGTGTGAGTTACGTCGAACATCTGACCAGGCATCTGTCTAAACGGATATCGGAGTATTGTCCTACGGTATTGCAGAAAGCTACTGTCGGTTGCATGGAGTTCTATTATATGGCATCTGATCGAAAGGAAGCACCGATTTAAGGCTACTGATGCTTAAAATGTTTTATGTTGTACCACAAAGCTACCCCAAAGGAATTAGGCAGCGAACGTCGCGGACGGCCGAAGCCACTGCTGTCAGGCATACACAACCTAACTATGTAAACGGAAGGCGCTTGTTCAAACGCTCCCCCTGCCGTGGAAGTAACATACTTCGAGACAACGTTCAATCCACACGCTGTGAGCCTCCGGGTGCTGGGTGAGTCACCGAACCATCAGCAATGTACGTGCTGTCTCATGAGCATTTGTGTGAGTCTATGTGTGCCCCATGCTGAGGCTGATGTTGCATTCTTGATGCTTCTTCACCGCAGTTGGGCTAAACCAACTTACACTTAAACTAGGTCTTTCTAAGCTGGCTAAATTTCATTCCGCTTTATTTGGTTTGTTCTGCCTCCCTGAATAATGTTCTATTAACTGGCCACGTTGCTTACACTAATTGCGCTTATCTTCGGTAATTTTGTTGCGTTTGTAGCATTATAAGTAACTTGTGGACATTTCTTATCACGGATTTGTTGCTAACCAAATTACTTCCTATGGTAATTTAGCGAAGAGTTATGCCACCGTATCTGTATGCATTATTGGATTTATTTTATTTCAGCTTGTCGTTTAAAGTGAATGGCTGTTGTTTGATATCCCTGGTATGGTTGCGCTTGATGTGTATGTTGACAAGGTGCCTACCTGTCTATTACCCACTACATCGTTCATACTGGCTCCAGGAGACAGTTGGTCGTTGCTGGAGGGGACGGGGTGCACGGTTCTTGTGGCCGTGCTAGGCTCGAAGAGCGGTTCCATGCACTCAGTGTGGAGCGGACTACGGTCCAGCCACCGCCTTGTGTGCGCTTGATTCCCCAAATACAGCGTGCTTGTGTTTGCCTGTGAAGGAGTGTGGGCCGGCTCCGTTGATTAAACGTGGTTCCCATCCGCATGCCTCCCGGTCTTATTCCTTCGGGTTTACACTGGATATGGGGTATGTGGTTGGAGCTGTGGGTGGTGCAGCGCAAGCCATCCATGGTCCCTCTGTATGCGCAGGCGTCCTGTGGCTTGCCACAGTGACAGGCAAATCCGAAACCGGATGCCGCCAACCATGTGTGCCTACGTGTACTGTCGCAACTGCTGCTTGAGTAGCTCGCCTACTTTTTCGTCTTAGACAGGTCATAGACTGCTTCACTCTGATTCGCCAGTCTATTGCGCTTCACTATCCTGTCCTGTTTCCACTGCCAAGTTTACAAATCTAAAAAAATGATGAGATTTAGCAAATGTGTGCTCTACGCAACCTCATGTTTAAGCAATTCCTTGGGTAAAATTCTGATATTTTCACATTTATATTCAGATATTCTAGGTCCAATATATACGCTTGCTGTAGCTGAAGCTAATATGACAAATAATGGAAAACGGTAAATGAACTGGACTAGGTTGTATTCTTTGCACTATTTAATCAGATATCACCTTTATACTACGATCCACAACCTTCTGCTTTTCCGCTGTGATCTCCTGTTCCACAACTTCGACTCCCGCATCAGTGCGATCCTCTGACTGACCTCGCAAACACTCTCCACCCGATCCATCTGTATGTCCCACCTTGGCGTTTGTTTCGTCAGCCATATTTGTGAAAGGGACTCCTTTGTTTGCCATACCGTGGATCAGGTGTGAGTTGTAGAATCCAAGTGTAAAACCGATTAAGCCACAAACATGCATCAAGAAGGGAAAATTTCGATTCACATGTACCTATGACTAAGGACAGATGTAAGTGGAACAGCGACAATTATTTTAAGCCAAATTGGGTCAATCATTGAAACACAACCAAGCACTGGATGACGAGTTGTCAAGTCACGAATGCTGGACGTATTACCGCATCCACTGTTGCACACGTTTCAAAACACGCTACCTCGCGGCCAAAACGATACTGCATTGACCTCATGTTATTTTGTTTCTAAGTGTACAGCATGGTACAGTATTACACACTCCTGTTGCTGAATCAGCGATTGCAGTAAGATTATCATTTACGATTCACGCAGCAAACTGATGTTTACCCAAATGTTATGAAGTCACAAATGTGTCTACCATCTGTGTGCTATCGTTCTACACAGCGGAGTATGAACATAATGGCAGTGGAATACTGTAAGCATCGAACGTATACCTACCTCTCTCCGATGAAGGGAAACGGTATAAGATCAAGTGCATGGTAACTTCTTTTATATGGTTGTTTTACAATACACGGATGAACCAACCACCTGCAACACAGTTGTTTCGGCATTCAGGTAAGTAACCCGATTTCTACCATGCTACTTACTTCCATTGCCATGGTTGCTCGTGTGTATGTAATGTGTTGTTATCATTGTCTCGGAGTAAACACTGTGATGATTTGGTTTGGGGACGTATCATCATCCTGCCGCATGACCCTAATATGAGACCTTATTAGTTTTGGACATATAAACCATTTTTCTCTTTATTTTATGAGTTAATTTCTATTGATTGAGATATTCTATATTTCAGGCTTTGTACATTTGCAAACTCCGAACGGCGGATGGACATGCCAATGGAGAGATCAATGTTAGTAGAATCTGCCAAATTTTCCGGGAAAATTCATCACCGCACGACTCAACGGACAGCAGCATATTTTTCGAGCGTCTGAACGATGTACTTATCGGCAAATAAGCCTGGGAATTTTGCATACGCGAGGTGTATTATCCCAGTTTCACACCAATACCTGTCGTCCGGCTCCTTCAGTCTTTGAGGTTGGAATTGAAATACTTAAACCAAGCAGCTTGCCCGTAAGCTCAATCTTCCTCTTGTTATCTTATTACTTACCAAGGTGCAATCCTCCTAATCCTCGTCACCTTTACTTCCAGGCAAACAATTTATTGTCGAAAGATCACACCTGAAAATGGACGCACGTAGACCCGAGTACATTTCAGCGAATGGCGTACCAGTTAGCATAGAAGCTATGGTATACGGAGTTTGACTTATCATAAGAATTCGTCATCGTAGTGTATGCAACAATCTTCCATGACAATCAAGGAAGACTTCACTCATGTCCTCTTGACGCTCACTTCGTCATGACGCTAAGGAAGAACGAGAGAAACTCGAGATAGATCGAAATGTATTAATTGGTCAAAACATCCGCGAGGATTTAATTTCGCATGTGCATATCGACTTCCTACAGTAGGCACAAGAAGACACAATTATTGCAACACTTCAAATGAATCTGACGTAAAAGCACTGGTAAAATGTACCCTGCAACAATCGACATTTGCCTAAACAGCCGTAAGAGATGAAATTCACCACATCCAGTAATAAACGAATGTGGTATTATTTACCCGACCAGACTGGCAACCTCCATACTCCTCAGCCGAAATGCACCAATCGTACGAACAGCATGTATCCCTCTGTTTGTTTAACGGACCCCTACCCTTTTCAGCGAGTTGTGTCATTATATTGTTACAAGTAATTATGCTGCGAATATTCTGCAAAAAGCATCTCAACCACAACCGAACAAAATCACTGGCACGGAGCAGTGTGAACTTGAGTCTCATGAAGACGTAGTTTCTGGTTTTGCCGAATGGTTGCCGTCGGTGTGTCGTTGCATTGACAGCACCAAGGCAACACGGACACCATTCGTGCTCAACAACGAGAAGGTTTGAGCACGACGAGTGCACGTCCATTTGGCAGGATATATAAATAACCAAACCAATAGTGGACGTCCACGTCTATTAACGCGAAGTGTTTCTTATGCATTGTTTTTAAACCAAACTCATTTTCACAGCACTACGTAGAGATTTTTACAACGATCTGAAGTGTGGTATTACTCGGGAAAGCCAACGCAACAAGGTTTTCTTCGACTAACCATGTGGACTTGTTCTGGATGTGTGACATTGGCCAAGTCTGCTCGTCATTATTACATTTGTACCGAAACGATCCGAATAAGAATGTTGTGGACATGATCGAGCGCCGTCTCCTCAAGTCAAACGGGATGAGGCGTGCAGAAGAATTAGTTGACAGACCTTTTTGATTTACTGTTCCAGACCAACCGCTCACACGCCTAACAATTCGCTTCCAGAAGAGGATTCCAAGCATGGATTACTTCGCCTGAGTTTGATGCTATCAAGTCAGCCACAGTGAATGCTTACTGAGAAATAGAGATAAAGTGGAAGCCAGCGTGCTATAACATCGTGTTCATGCAAACCCGCACAGCCATTGTAAGCGCGTGAAATTCAGATTTGATATGCATGGCAAGCGTTTGCATGATGAAACGCAGGAATTGAAATGTCATGCATGACGTGCCGTTGAATCCATGTACTGGTCCGTTAAGTCAACCATCTGCGACTGACGGTTTGGCACCTTGATTAGCCGAAGCTTTTCGTGCAATCTGGAAGGTTTAGCTTGCAGCTGTACCTTAGAGAGACGTGCATTCAAACGAGTGATGAAGCTGATTTCAAGCACTGAGGAATATTGCCAAATAGTAAGCCAGCCAAGGAGGTGTATTGACAGTCGCTGTAACCAACCTCCAATGATGTATGTCAAGGACATTTTCTCATCATACGTTGTGATGTTTATCTCTATAGAGAAGGTGTTTGAAAGGAATTGCGTGAGTTTTCGTTATCTATCAAACGCTGGATGCCCATGCTTTCTCGCTGGCATGTGGAACCCCATGCTGGTTGGTTAAACGCCAGTTTCAGTCATATGAAGCCAATTACTATTGTCCAAATTGATCTGATTCGAATAAACGACCCAACAAGTATTTTGAAATAGGTTCACTTCCCCGTATTATTCAGGCAATCAGCTTTCGCGTCATTTTGCTTGAGGACTTGATCTTCAAAATTATGGCTGGGTGATGGACAATTTGCAAATAGATATCATGTGCTGACGGAATTACGCCCGATGTAGGTACTGGTCGATTAGTAGGAGTCTAAGCATATGAATGCGTCGATAAACTGGAATAAAATTAGCGAAGCGTCTGTCGTTAATCTAGTTATTTCACTACGTCATTCTGAGAGTCGTAAATACGTCGTGCGCAAGTTGCATCCGACCTAGCATGGGCATCAAATGTCTACCTTAAAAGCGTCTTCTCTTATCTGACGATCATTCTCCACGATCAGGATAGCTGTAGCTGCTCTGAGTAGAGTCATTATCTGAACGAATCACTAACATACACCCGGACAGTCGTTTGCAATCGTGTCAACACTTGTTAGTCTTCCCTTTGGTGTGGCCACAGACTCGACTTCAAAGTGCTTCGCGTGATACGCAACGGACCAATGTGGTCCAGATCACACGAGGAGTTTACTAGGCCGAAGAACAGGTAACATTACAGCAAGTGATCGATGGTACTGGTTAACCAGCGGTTTAGTCGTCGTGTCGAGGATGATCAGCCAATGGGAGACATAGTACGTGATTGGTGATGCTGCCAATCTGGCGTAAGGAGGTTTCACTAGCACGGGGGCGAGAAGAAATCTGTGAGTGGTAATAAGAAGCGGATTGATGGCTTTTTGAGGTTGTAACGTTTGCAGCCTGTTGTGAGGGGCTTTGAAGGCTTACACGAGCGTGATGACAACTAATTGTGTAGTGATAGGAAGCGGATTGGCTGCAACCCTGTTGGAAGGGAACCTTTGTAGGCTTACGGGTTGAATGCAAATTGCCTTCTTGCTCGCTGGCCTATGTAGCCACACGTGATGCGGTATGCATAGTGTAATCGTGCCACTGCGAGCAATCTGCAGAATCGATAGGTGTGCGACTACGCTTAGGATGTGCGTGTGATTGTTAAGGCAGTGTGAGGTAATCGGAAACAATGCAATAATTCGTATGAAGGAGGTAAAGCTAGAACTTGGCAAATAGAATTTTTAAGAAGCTTTACAGCTACAAATTTCTCGTGCTGTTTTTTTCAGTTGGCCGTACACTCATGTGAATAGCGTAGATAGATATTGCATATGTAGTCGGCGCATTGTATACTAAGATCAAGTTCGCTGCGTAGGTAAGATCATCATTGCATCTGTAGCTATTGTTCCAGAGAGGAGGGTTCCTATTGTGGCGGTGACACGACATTAGTGAGTGTTCATTCGTCGCCACACCTGTGGGCCACTACGGTAATCAGTTACCGCTACAGGACCCATGGTCCTGCCGTTATGTTAAGGTCGTAAGATGCATGTCAATCCTGCGTTTCCACATGATATTTACCCTTCACTTCCAAGTGATTGATAAGCTTTAAAACTCAAGTGACCCTACGGCCCTGATATGAGGTGCCTACGAGCATTGCATACACATAGGAAGCATAGAGTTTGGAGAAATTTTCCTCCTTCAACAATGTCTCCGGAATTACCTACTTTTCAATGACAAAATGTTTCCCAGTAGTTGCTAAGTCGCTAACAACCTGTGTCACGGCGTGCATACATGAGTGCTTCTAAAACTAGCTGAAACAGTGATCCATAGCAGGCTTAGTGGGCGCGGCTGCCTTTGTAAATGATTGCAAACACATTGTAGGAACGCCCGTGGGTGAGACAACAATGTTTATCATTTCCAAGTACTCACCTGAAGTACCAGAGTAACATGCTTGCGTCGCCACTAATCATAAGGCTTGCGTTCTTTCTAGCAGGACGATGTGGCATGTATAAACACCGTAGTCATTGTGGCCCCTTTAAGTGTTACTTTGTTGAGTAATACCGATTCTTTGAGGAGAGCATGCCAGTCCATTGATGTAATAGGGA